GGGGAATTTTCATTCCGAGATAAGCTGCTTCGTCACCATCTTCGGGGTCAGGTAAGAAATTCGGTCCGATGAGTTCAGAGACATTTGTCTCAACTGTTTGAGGTGTAGTGTAACCCTGGTCAGCGAAGTGGTAGTAGGTGTCGAGGTTGTTACTATCGAGAGGGTTGTCGTCGTCGAGTGGGACGGGCACGGAGCAGTAAGAGAGTGGTCCGGCAGCTTCCGAGGCTTCAGGTACATCTTCTTCTGCTGCGTCAGCTTCGGCAGCACGGTCGGCGAAGGACCGATGGCCCATGAAGCCGTCGGTGAGGTCTGCGGTGTTGGCGACGTTGTCCAGGTAATGCTGCAGCTGCAGTCTCTCGTAGAATATCACATCACGTGAGGCCACGGTGTTTTTGTCCTGGATGTCGAGAAGTTTCCATGCATGAAAATGTTTTGCGATGCCGAGGTGTAGTCCCCACCGTGCTCGTTGAGAAAATCGTCCTGCTCGAGCTGTGTGGGGTCTGTACTGTACCATGCAGCCAAAAACTCGAAGTAATTTTGTGCTACCCAGTTTTCCTGTCCACAGCAGGTGCGGTGATGTGTTGTTGGGTAGTGATGACGAGGACAGCAAGTTGTGGAGATGGACTGCATGCGTCATCGCGTCAGGCCAAAGGGTGGTGGGCAGTCCCATCCCCAGGAGCAGCTTCCGCATCGTCGTCTGCAAGGTGCGATTCATTCTCTCTGCGACCCCCTGCTGCTGGTGAGCGTAGGGCAGGGACACCAGGCGTTTGATGCCTCTTTCTGCCAAGTAGCTCCTGATCCTTTGTGACTGATACTCCAGTGCCCCGTCTGACTGAAAACTTTTGAGTTTGGAGGCTGATTCTCGTTCAGCGACGGGGAGCCATGTCGTGAAATCTTCGAACGCTTGGTCACGAGTCTTGAGGTTGAAGTGCCAGACGTATCGTGTTGATGCGTCGATGAACGTGATAACGTAGTTGTACTCTGCTTCACTGTCGTCTCGAGGCATATTTAGAATATCGCTGTAAACCTTTTCCATCGGTGCGTATGCAGGTGCGCTTGGATTGTGGTGCGACGAGAAAGGTTGATGGGGAAGATCAGCTTCGGGACACGTGAAGCATCATCCGCGCGGTCGTCAAAGCTCCTGGCCGCTCATTGTGAGGAGAGCGTCTTTTTATAATACTCCGGCTTGTATGGTCTGAAGGATTGTACAATTTGCAGGGTGTCCATGGCGTTGGTGCCAGATGTCGTCTGGAGCGCGATGGCCGGGTGAGCACTGGTACAGGTCGGTGTTGGAGAAGAACGCGACGACCGTAGCGGGACTGCGGCAAATTCCCCGGGTGATGGGCATGAGTTGATCTGCTTCGGTTGGTGGTCCTCGGATTGCTCGTGATGGCGCACGGCTGGGTCCTGCTGCTGCTACTACAGATGATGTCGGGGAAGAGATACTTGCTGGTACTTGTCGTTCTTGTCGAATGACTGCTAATGCTCGTGTTCTCTCTGCTGCAGGGATGGTGTTGGAGTACCAGAACCCGCCTGGACTGAAGTCGGGGACAAGATCGGGCGGGTGCGTCCAGGCGGCAAACAACACGATGGCATCGCTGTCGGCAGTACCGCGGTCGGGGACGAAGTCCAACACGAAGACGCCCGACTTCAGAAGAGCGTGATTGACAAAGAGACCGTCCTTTTCGTGGTAAAGGCGAAACTCGTTGGCGTCCGAGTCACATTCCAGGTGAATCCCCTCTACCACTAACTGGCTGACACTTAACAGATTGTATCCCAAATTGTCGACGATGAGAACTTTGTTGAGTTGTAGTATGACGTTTGTCTCCATTGACTGAAGCTGAACGACTCCTTGTCTGTTTGTCTTCAGGTTCTCATTGTTGGCGACGGTGATGACAACTTCGCGGTTGAGGTGTCGCTCTCGTTGCACGAAGCGCCCCGAGGAACACATGTGTTGACCGCAACAGCTGTCCAAGAACCAGGTGTTTCGCCCAGTGGGTTCGTTGTTGGCGACTGCAGCATACGTGGGGTTGACCTGAAGACCTTGTGAGCGTGGCGGCGGCAGCTCTTCTTCGTCTGGATCGTAAGTGGGTGGTGACCCGGGTGTGCAGCTGCCGATTCGTACCATACAGTTGATGATGTTTGGTGCGCCTTGTGCAGATGTAGAGGAACGGTTTGGCAGATTTGCTTGGGTGGAGGCGGCTTGCGGGTCTGCTGGACGAGAGACTCGAGGACGTGTGCAGTTGACCTTGGAGTGCCCGGATGTCTGACAGTTGTGGCAAAACGGCAGCACGATGGTGAGGCCTCTGTTGTCGTGTCGGTTGTGGTTGTTGTTGTTTCTTCTTTGGGTGTAGAAGACTAACGGTTGCTGCTTGTTTCGTGGTTGTCTTTCTTCAAACAGGTCCATCTCCTGTTGTTCAGCATGAAGCTCGGCGCAGGGGTGCATCTCGGAAATTCGTCCGTGGGCGCGAAGAAGCGAGCGGGTGGTTCTCCATTGTGGTCCGAGCCCGGCGAGAACAAGTGTCACAAAGCTTTCTTCAGTGATTGTGCCTCCGCATCGAAGCAGGCGGTCGCGAAGTGTCTGGCAGCGACTCATATACTGCATCGCCTTTTCCCCGGTCTTCATTTTTATTGTTGTCAACTGTTGCATGAGTCTGCTTTGTGTCACACTGTCGTTTGCTTGATAGAGACATTTCAAATGATGCCAGGCGAGCTCCGCGGAGTTTCCGTAGCTCCGATACGTTCTAATGCTCTGTTGCTCTTGTGGTGACAGATTTCGCAGGAGAACTGTGTACGCCAGCAGCGATTGATAGGTGAAGATTTCCTGTTCTTTTCCAGTGCCGCTGCTTGGAAATGGCAAGGACCCGTTGAAGTATCCCAAGAGGTGCGCGGCCTCCATCAGCAGCCTGAACTCAAAGCTCGAGGTAAAGAAGTCGTGCCCGTTGAACGGTGAAGATGTCTGTAGTTTGATCACATGCGAAAACTGCGCCTGGAGACTTAGTATCTTGTTTGGTGTGTGTTGTGATGCAGCTGCTGTCGGTTGAGCACGGGGCGGCATGAACTGGAACGTCCCTGGTGAAGAGTGATAAGGCGCAAAGGTAGGCGCCTGGTTGTGCCGCCCGAATGATGAGTTGTCGAGGCTCATTGGTGCTAACCCCGTATTTCCTCCATTGCTCTGTGTTGAATGCGTATGAGTCCTTGTCTGCTGCTGCTGGTCGAAGTGCGACATGAAGCTGAAGAACCTTTCCATAAGATTCGGGTCCACTCCTGAAGAGGGTGAAGGGGTCACCATTCCTGGTACTCTTCCTGTTGTTTCTTGAGCAGCGCCAGTCTCGGTTTGTAGTCCAGAGTGCTGGGTTGAGTGGCTTGGGCGTTGGGTGAGCCCGTAGAAGACTTTTTGCCATTGTTGTCCATGTCTTGTAATCGATGAAGCTTTTGTTTTGCTGACTGTAGATAGGATGTTGTCGATGGGAGTTTGGTCTCTGACCAGCTCTCATACCATATTGGGCTGAGAAATAGCCTTAGGATCTTTTCAGAGACTAAGTCCCACTTGTACAAGATGCCTGCGTAATGCAATGGAAGTGTTGAGTAGTGGAACCCTTGCACTAGTATATGAGAGCAAGTGATTGATTAAAAGAAACAAGCATACAGCAATATATAGGAAATAAGGAATGAAGCAGTTGTACAATACAGTTGAAGGAACAGTTATCGAGTCGCATAGGGACTCGATTGTCGGTTCGGTTACCACTTTTGCAGTCGCAACGGTCAGTCGCAACCTCCGGTTGCGACCCTTCGAGTCCATTTGCCCTTTCGTATTCTTTTGTCCAACCTCTTCGTGTAACCTCCGTTGGCTCGCGTACCCGATACGACTTTCCTCGAGTGCAGTGTTACACTTCAGAAACACTTAAGTCTTCGAGGTATTTCCAACAAAAAGCACATGGCCCAAGTAAGACCAAGATTCAGAGTCTTCGTTTTTTTATCCCTCGCCAACCCAGCCCACGCCAACAGGGTTACCCCATAACTGGGCGACTGGTTGGAAAACAAAAACGACAGGAGGGGATTGGCCACCCAAGAGCCCACCGTCGCGTGCGATGTCGCACAACAAAGTGCCTCCATAGGTCCATACCCCTTGGAAAATAAAGATACAGAGCGTGTGCGTTCTTGGGACTCAAGTCCATGGTGGCAGCCACAAGGTAAGAAAAGTTCTCCAGCACTCCAGATAAGGTAACGGACACTCTCTTCGTTTCTCACCTCTCCCGCCCCGCCAATTGTGTCCCACCCCATCAACTCAAGAAGAATTTATCTTGCAGAACCAAGACCAAGAGCTCAAGATTTCAAGCCCAAGGGACGCGGATAAATATTGAATAGTGAAAATAGTAACGCTACTTCGTGTAGTGTTACATTTCACTTGGTGTAGCCCCTTGGAGGGTTTGTTTTGAGACTCTTCGTGGTTGGGGACTCTGTGGTGGTGTACCACCAACCTGGACCTCAGCTCTTGGGGTATGTAGAGGCTGGGAACCATCTCCCTCTCGAATTTCTTCTTCCTAAGTTTTTGTACTCCTAAGACTATAGTGGCTGCTGTACCTCTTGCCAGTCAAACCGCCATAGCGTCGTCAAATCTTCATGGAATTTTATGATTCAACTTGCTGCTCATAGGCGACAGCAACGCGCTCCAGATCAAATTTACAGATCAACGTTTGAGGCACACATCAGATCGGCATCAATATTTGAAGCTGGCTGACGGAATTCTGATTGTGCACATTTTCTCTCATTTTAGGCACATCTGAGCCTATTGTGATTGTAACACTTTCTGGGGATAGTGATTGCTTTTGTTGGCCAGTGAGGCGTTGTGATGGCGTGCTGAGAGGAGATATATTTTTACTCCAACGGCATGTTTGCTACTCTGGTCCTCGGTCATACCGGTAGATCCATTGTTTTTCTGAGCATGTGGGGTTGTGAGATTTCAAGTAAGCATGCTTTGTTGTATAGTCTTTGTATGCTAATAGCTTAGTTCAACAACTTCGTACACAGATGAGAAGTTCCGGATGCAAGGGACTTCGGGAGAACAACGATCAAAAGGGCCGGTGCACAAGGGTGTGTAGGGAGGTCGGTTACCACACAATAATTAGGTTACAAATAGATAAATGTCACAGGAGAGGCTGCCGAGGTCACAATCACCAAGCGGATGCCCAAGCGGGAGAGGGGGTCAGCGGTCGCAGCGCCACACCGATCTGTGCAAGTGCACCATGAAACATGATGGGGCGGGAGGGTTTAGGGAACCTGCGACACTTTAGGGCGTGTCTGAAGGGCGGGTGAAGGTCTAAAGATGGTGTGGGGGGGGGGAGTTGTCAGAAGAGGAGGGAGGAGCCTGGGCTAAACCGTGGAGGTGACCGAAAGGGCCAGTGGGGGAACTCAACACGCACTCACCCATCAGCGACACCTTCCAACGTAAACCAGTAGGCCAAAACCCCCAACAGCCCCACCAATCAGTTGCACCCCCCGAGCACACCAACCTGTCGCGCCTACAAGCGCACCCCATCCATCAGCAAAAGGCAACACCTATCTAGCATGCCAAATACGCACACCTATCAGGCATTCCAAACAGCCACAGCTGTCAGGCCTGCCAAAAAGCCACAGCTGTCAGGCATGCCAAACAGCCACAGCTGTCAGGCATGCCAAACAGCCACAGCTGTCAGGCATGCCAAATAGCCACAGCTGTCAGGCATGCCAAACAGCCACAGCTGTCAGGCATGCCAAACAGCCACAGCTGTCAGGCATGCCAAACAGCCACAGCTGTCAGGCCTGCCAAACAGCCACAGCTGTCAGGCCTGCCAAACAGCCACAGCTGTCAGGCCTGCCAAACAGCCACAGCTGTCAGGCATGCCAAACAGCCACAGCTGTCAGGCATGCCAAACAGCCACAGCTGTCAGGCCTGCCAAACAGCCACAGCTGCCAGGCATGCTAAACAGCCACAGCTGTCAGACATGCCAAACAGTGGGACCGCTCTGCCATGCCGAACCGCCACGCCTATCAGGCATGCCAAGTAGCAGCACATGTCAAGCATGCTTGGCCACCGCACATGAAAAGCATGCCAAGCAGCTGCACATGTCAAGCACGCCAAGCAGCTGCACATGTCAAGCATGCCAAGCAGCTGCACATGTCAAGCATGCCAAGCAGCTGCACATGTCAAGCATGCCAAGCAGCTGCACATGTCAAGCATGCCAAGCAGCTGCACATGTCAAGCACGCCAAGCAGCTGCACCTGTCAAGCATGTCAGGCAGCTGCACATGTAACGCATGCCAAGCAGCCACATCTATCAAGCATGCCGTGTGGATGCACCAATCGGCCACACCAAACAGTAAGTATCAGTCGGGCGGTGGGAGCAAGGTATGGATCTGTTTACCTTTCAGGCTAGCGGTGCTGCTGCCTAGGGGGGGCGCATGGCGTGGCGTGGTCCTTGGAGGCTTGAAGGGTCGCCCGAGGGTGCGAGTCTGAACCCAACCTGCCGGGCGCTTACCGCAGCAAGTTGGTGCCATCAGCTGCATGCGTGGGAACGGGCATGTTGTGAGCAAAGCATGAAGGGGTTTTTAAACACACAGTAGGCCTATGGGACCACAGAAGAAGAGGGTCACCATGAGAGATACAAAGAGGGTCCGCCGAGCCACGCTTGAAGGCCGACCCTGTGAGGTGAAGGAGGGTAGTGCCTTGAGGGCTGGGGTGTCCTGAGCGGCGTGACAACAATGTCTAGAGATGCAGGGGACGCTGTATCTCGCTGCATGCGGGTGCGCCGCGTCGCATCACACTCCAAGTCCGGGTCACACTCCCGCTCTGCTACGTTGGGCGTAGCTTGTTGCCACTCCCCCATAATGCGGTCAACCCAACCCCAATCCATTTTTCCCAGTACCCTAGTGTGCCTCCCGCGTCGAATCCGCGTAACACGCACCACTCGAGTCACGTAGGCCGTCACCAAATGGTCCATGCAGCTGTTCCAATGGAGAACGGCAAGAGCGGTCCTCGCACGGAAGCTACCTCGCAGCCTTAGTCGTTTCGGTGCATACTTGCCTATAAGGGAGTGAAAGGACTCGTTCAGCGAACTGCATGCGCCGTAAATAAACATTTTCACTTGTTCAACCCCATAGTGCTTGGTGAGCCAAGCTGTCACGGCTTTGTGCATCTTTGATCCAGCCGTATATATGACATTCTCCCTACCCCAGTGCTCAGTCACGCAGCGGGGGGTGGGGGGGGTGGGGGGGGGGGGGGGGGGTGATCCCATCCCGTGCACACCGTGAGTGATTCCCTGCCCAGTGGTCGGCGGCCATGCAGATCTCCTCCGACACGGCCGCCGCCGTCATGGGCTGGCCATCGCGCTTGCAGATGCCGCATTGCATCATAACGTGGTAGAAGTGGATTAGCAGGCGCTGTACAACCGTCACCTCCTCCTCCTTATTACAACCCGCTCCCTCTGCCGATGCAGACCCCTTTTTCCGCTTTGAGCGCTTGGCCCATAGGGGTAGGGGGCCCGCGTAGATGACTTCCAGTGCCACACTCCCAGTGGTCCCTGCATCGGGCTGGGCACATCGACATGGGTCTTGGCCAACAATCGTTGCCGCAGGGGTCACACCTGCCAGCACAGAGAGACATCGGTTAGCATTGGATTGACCAAACTCCCTACGTCACAGCAAGGGTGCCTTACCTGCGGGTGCAGGGATCTCCTGCCATGGCATCGCTCCACCGATGAAGTGATCGCACTCCACATCCCCCATGTGAGCTTGCACCAAGAGCATCGAGGCCATAGAAGATGGCCGAATCCCGAACTTGTTGTGTGCATCATACCCCCACCGTTCTGCCACGTCCGCCAACTGAACCTCCACACAAACGGCGCCCGTTACTTTGGCGGCCGCCTCATCCCCCCCCCCCCCCCGGCCCCACATCTCCCGTCGAACCCCTCGCGCCCTCCGCAAACTCCTCAAAACTGTGCTCGCCATCGCACCCACTTGGAACCCCACCATAGGAAAGCAGAACATCCGCACACGAGGTGTCCCCTCCAACCCGCATCACCTTGCGTAACTCGGGATACATGTATTTTGCCTCGTCATGCGCCATTGGGACATATGAGAATTTACCCGTCGCCTCGCACACGTGCTGTACAAGCGTCTCCTTGAGCGATGCCTTTGGTTCATTTACTCCCTCCTTCTCTACCAACCATGCCCGCAAGTTCTTGACACTAGCATTGCATAAATCAACGATTTGTTGCACCGCACAAATGGGGACGACTGGCCGCAAGCGGTCTTGTAGATCTTTTAAGAAACCTTTCTTCATAGACTGCTTCACATGTCACCAGTGTACTTGGTGATTCATCTCCCGCTCCTTAGCAGCCCCCTTGAACGTACTCCCTTGGTCCGATATGATACCTCCGATAGGAACCCCTCTTCCTCCATTCGTTCCATGCCCAGGTCAAACGCGTGGCGTTCGAGCTTCACCGACGACAGATCGTCAACACCCTTCTGTGTGGTCTGAACAAACAGGATTTTTCTCGTGTGTTCATCAATCTATGAGACAGTGCACCACTCTCCCTCTCGCACCTGGGACCACCGTCCGTCCACGCATGCGTACACGGCACCTTTAAGGTTTCTTTTCAGGTTTCCTTTCCTAACCTCAAGCATTGAGGCCTCGGCCTCTCGAATGATGGTTTGCCACAACCCTTTCTCGCCACCCAGGTGCCGGTAGAACGTTGACTTGCCTGGACATGGGAGTTTGAATGTGCGACTAAATTCCCACATTTGTTGGTATCCCATCCCAGCCAATGCAAACGCCCCCAGGTACCGAGACAGCTGTGTCGATGACCGTGGCCCCTTCCTCTTCCCTCCTGCCTCTAACTCTCGCCTTGTGCATGTCCAAAACTCTACGGTGTGGCGACACTCTATGCATGCCCAAAAGAGATCCCACGACGCCCATGACGGTCTTGCGTCAACTAGACACATCGAACCCCCACAGGCGGCAAGGTGCTGACACACCATGCGGCATCCATTGAAGAAGTTGACAGTATGTCTGACCTCCAACAGACCTATTTCAGCGGCGTTGTAATCTTCAACGTTCGGAGATGCGACGTGCCCCTTTGGTTTCACCTTGCGGGCGAGGTCTTTCAGACAACTGTGGGGCGGCATCCCTGACGACCTATAGAGGATAGGGAAGTAGTTGGTGGAAGGCGGGTGTGTGGGGTGAGGGGGGGGTGCTTCAGGGAACCTCATCGCAAACTCTAGGCGAAGGTGGTCGCCAAAAGGAGCGAAGGGGGAAAGGGGACATCAATTCCTAACCTAGGGGCGTGTGGTGCTAGTAACCTGCGCCACAAGGCACAACCCCTTTGTTGTCTCCAAGCATCTCCGACTAACCTGATGGGAGAGGCCAACCCCAGGGAGGGTGGGCAAGGCGTGGATGGCGTCGAAGGGCCCCCCTTGCTCTTTGAGATGGGTTGTGGGTCGGACGTGGAGGTGCTTGTTGTGGCGAGATCGACGATCTGTGGACACTGCGATTCGGTTGGCTTTTATGAATAAGGAGAGGAATGTGCACATGTCATTTTGGTGCCAAAGAGGATGGTCGTGCTCAGGTGCGGTATGGGCCGGGACAGTTGGACAACCAACCTCCAACATAGACATGCCTTATGATCCTCACCCGTTGGGAGTTAAGGACCCAGGTGCGGCGGGCCGCAGAGTTAATGGCGCACGCGCCACCCAATCGTCTCCACTGGCCCCATCCCTAGCCGTCCATGGAATGGGTCGAGAAGGAGCTGGCCTCTGCAAGCCGGTCACACTGCTTTTCGGGGGAGATGTCAGGTTTTGTGGGGGGGGGGCATATGCGATTGTGAAATAGCGAGGGGGGGGGGGGGGGGGGGGAATGGAGGATGGCCGGGATCGGTAGTTGAGTGGGCTGGCCTCATTGGACGCCCGCCCCATGTCAAGCTTGCCAAGCATCATGCGACTCACCTGCTAGGCGTCCACGGACCGAGTGCAGCAGGGCATGGTGTAGACGGCGCATGTGGCACCCAGAGTGGGCGCCCGGCCCCTTCGCATGTCATACATAGCATGGGCGGGGAAGGAGTTGGCCACTCCATAGCGGTTGTACTACGGGTTTGGATGGGGGTTTGGGAGGAAATGGCGTTGTCGTATGAGTGATGCCACGGATGTCATCCATGCAACATATGACCCACATGGCTCATGGGCCATACCCTCCCATGCACATCCACCAATCCAGCGTCCAGAGACCCCTAACCACCACACTCCGTTGTGGGGCCCTACCTGCTCGGTGCACTTGCACCACCCATACTCCCACATGGCGTGGGAGATGCAGGCGTGGCAGTAGTCACGCTGGAAGGTACCCCCACCGCAGGGGCGTTGTCGCAGTCTGTGTCATCCGTGTTGGTATAGGACTGGGCGGCCGCCTCCTGCACGTCTTCTCCTCCAATGCACTCTGCGCGTATTGGGTGGAATATGGCAAGGACACAAACTTGGGGGCGGAGGATCCCCGTGCGCTCACAAATCCACGCCCTCCCAAACCTCATAGCCTCACGGCCCCAACCCACCTCAAGACGTACGTCTGCCATCACCCACTGGTGGCGCAGGATCCACGTTGCCCGATTCGTCATCATCGGCCTGCGCGTCGCCAGCGACGACCCCGCCGTCGCCCTGTATGTTGTACTCTGGATGGGGTGAGGGGTTGAGGATAAGAGGGGCAAGGCATGGCTGGGGAGGTTAGCGTGCCTTTTCCAGATGCCTCCCCACACCCGTCTCCCCATCGTCCTCATGCTCACCTTGCCGAGCTATGAAATCATCTCCTCTGCGATCACCGCCCTATCCTGCACCCTCAGCGAGTATGTACTTTCCGTTCTTTCTCCAGGTGTACAGTGGCAAGTTAAGTGCCACTCCAGGCAGTTTTCGGTTCGGACGCATGAGGATCTCCTCGGCGGTTGCCGCGCCACCCTTCACCCAACGCTTGAATATGTGGCTGTATGTTGTCTTGTGCTCGGTGACCAGGCTTTGCCCTGCTGCCCCGTCCGCCTGCGAGACTGGGGACAGAGGGATGTTCTATGCTGTTTTCCCTAGACAGCACGAGCAAGGGCTGCTTAAGTCAAGCACACCAAGGCACGAGTGTCGAATCACACTTACCGACATGGTAGGCTGCCTCCTCTAGACGCTTGACCGCGTCCTTAGCATGCTGCGCCAAAAAGTGCAGCAGATCATCCATGCTTGCAACCTCCTCCTCCAGCCCCAGGAGCACTGTCAGCCCCAGCCTCTGCACCTTTACTATCGGTTGCATGTGGCATGTGATGTTCACACTACCCCCCTTTGACTCCACCAAAGCTCTTAGTGCGCGTGGTGCACGCGGTGCTCTCGGTGCAGCCATTGCCAGCACGTGCCTTGCACAAACCTTGTGGGGGGGGGGGGGGGAGGGGGAGGGGGAGTGTAGAGTGTGTTACGGGTGCAAGTGTACAGCGTGAGTGTGGACGGTGTAGCAGGCGGCAGTGAAACCTTAGCTGCTGCGTGGGCGGTGCAGCCAAGGGATTGAGGTGCTGCGCGTGTGTGGCTTGAGCAGCCAAGGGAGTGGGGTGTAGCGCGCGTGTGCTTGGTGCAGCCAAGGCAGTGAGTTGTGGTGCGTGTGTGCGCGGTGCAGCGGCGGGAGTGAGGGGCAGCACATTTGTGGTTTCTTGCAGCCACTGCAGCTACATGCAGCGCACGTGGGCTTTCTCACAGCCAAGGCAGTGAGGTGCTGCGCACGTGTGCTTTGAGCAGCCAAGGCAGTGGGGTGCTGCGAGTGTGTGCTTTGAGCAGCCAGGGCAGTGAGGTGCAACGCGTGTGTGCAGCAAGCAGCCAAGGCAGTGTGGTCCTGCGGGTGTGTCCTTTGAGCAGCCAAGGGAGTGAGGCCTTGCGGGTGTGTGCCGTGAGCAGCCAAGGGAGTGCGGTGCAGCGAGTGTGTGCTGTGAGCAGCCAAGGCAGCGAGGTGCAGCACGCGTGTGCTTTGAGCAGCCAAGGCAGTGAGTTGTGGCGCGTGTGTGCTTGGTGCAGCCAAGGGAGTGAGATGTGGCACGTGTGTGCTTTGAGCAGCCAAGACAGTGGGGTCCAGCGTGTGGGTGCCTGGTGCAGCCAAGGGAGTGAGGGGCAGCGCGCGTGGGCTTTCTTGCAGCCAGAGCAGTGAGGTGCTGTGGGTGTGTGCTTTGAGCAGACAGGGCTGTGAGGTGCAACGCGTGTGTGCAGCGAGCAGCCAAGGCAGTGTGGTCCTGCGGGTGTGTCCTTTGAGCAGCCAAGGGAGTGAGGCCCTGCAGGTGTATGCTTTGAGCAGCCAAGGCAGCGAGGTGCAGCGCGGGTGTGCATTGAGCAGCCAAGGCGGTGAGATGTGGCGCGTGTGTGCTTGGTGCAGCCATGCCCCTGAGTTGCAGCGCTTGGATGCTTTGAGCAGCTAAAGCAGTGAGGTGATGCGGTGGGAGGATGGTGCAGCGGGAGGGAGTGCGGTGCAGCAGGAGGGAGTGTGGTGCAGCGGGAGGGAGTGTGGTGCAGCAGGAGGGAGTGTGGTTCAGCGGGAGGGAGTGTAGTGCAGGGGGAGGGAGTGCGGTGCAGCGGGAGGGAGTGTGGTTCAGCGGGAGGGAGTGTGGTGTTGTGGGAGGGAGTGCGGTGCAGCGGGAGGGAGTGTGATTCAGCAAAGGAGAGGTGGTTTTGGTGCGGGCCGTCCATGGCGGGGTACGCCGATGCGTTTCTTGCGTTTTATTAGACGGGTTTTTGGCGCGCCAGTTCTCGATAGCTTTCTGTCGGGCGCAGGCCTCCTAGCACGTGTTGCGCTTCCCTCCACCGTCGTTTTTATGCCCGCGATTCCCTCTACTCTTGGTTTTTTGCGTAGCGCTAGGTACGGATTTGTCTGTCCCTATTTCCCGCGACGCTTGGGATTGTCTGTGTGGCGCATACCCTCTGTCGCCCCTTCCTCCCGTCTACTTGTCGAATTATTTTGTTCGTAGCGTGTCTCTCCCGCCACGTTTGAGTCAATTGTTCCGTCGCGTTCTAAACCTATCTGGATCCCCAGGGTTGCTTCTCTGGAGTCGGTTTTCTATGCACTGTGCTCGTTGTTTTGGTGCACGTTGTGTGTAGGTCCCTCGTCGACCCAGGCCCTTATTCTCACAAGCTGGGTTACATTCTGGGTGTCGCTTAGGGTGTTCTGGCTCGCGTGGCTGGTCCTGTTCAGGGGGCTGTTTGGCATGGTGGCGCAGCTTCAGTCGGGCGATTTTCATATTTTTGAACACGCCCTCCCCTGCGCTCGACTCTGTCTGTTTTTTTTTCTGGTCGTCTAGTGTCGCCAACCCAAATCCTTCCCTTTCGCCCAACCTCCCTTTCGCCTGTAGTTTCGCCCGCCCCTCGCGAAGTTTGCGAGCGGGACCAAGAACCAAAGACTGAGTCATGGTCGTTCTTGGACCACGCGCTTTAATGTGACAATTAATAGACGATAATAATTTTAGAAATGATATATTCCTTAAATATTTACTGGATATATGTCATATCAATGCATATATTGAAGTAAATAGAATATAACTTTAGGTGTCCGTTTATATGGCAGGTAATGGTGGCTTTTGTTTAAATTATATATTGTGTTATATAATTTGTAGGCTTGGTATGTTATCGAACTCTACTGTAGAGGGTACAATCCCCTCCTTGTATCCCTCTCTCTTTCTAGTCAACATTCTTTTCTCTCGTCAATCTCTCCTAGCTAAACCCTCCCGCTATTTCTATGGCGGCCTTGCCTTCCTAGTTCCTAGCTGATCACGACATGGAATCAGAGTTGTTCGCTCCTAGTGGGCCTGCTCCTCACGCTTCCGCTGCGCACTTCTACCGTCCCTTCCGTGCCGCCGCCAAACCTCGCCGAGCTGCCATGGCGACCTCGACGCACAGCGGTGGCGGCCATGTAAAGGTGCCGTGGCGGCCTCGCCGCATGGCTGCCTCATCGAGCAGCCGTGCCGGCCTCGCCGCACTGACGTGGCGGCTTCGTTGTGCCGCCATGCCTCCGTGCCGCCGTTCCGCCATCCCGTCGAGTCCCCATGTCCCCATCCTGCCGTGCCGCCGTGCCACGGTACCGCTGCGCCGCCATGCCGCCGTGTCCCCAGGGCACGGACGGCTGCGGCCAGCGCCCTGACATTTCAGGCGCCGCCAGCTCGCCCACACGCCATCCAGCGCTGCACCTGCCGTGGGTGCCTTGCTGGGCTTCACCCCCCTTCCCCCCTGTGTCTCCTCCTCCTCCTGCCGCAGCTGCTGTCTTCTGCCCGGTCGTCGCCGGGTCGTGCCACACCGCCGAGAGCCCTCAGTCGCGGCAGTCGCCGCCTGCCTTCATCGATGCAGCCGCCTTGAGCATGAGCTCCGTCGCTGTAGTCGTTGAGGCCGCCCAGACGCCGCCAGCTGCCTCTTGCCGCGGGTGTCATCGCTTTGCACGAGGGGTAGATACCCAGCTGCTCACGAGCATGAGGGTGTACGGGGTTAGGGGGTGTGTGTGTGTTGGGTGGGCTTGTGACTACCAAGCCTAGGGGGTGTGTTAAAATTATATATTGTGTTATATAATTTTTAGGCTTGGTAGGTTATCGAACTCTACTGTAGAGGGTACAATCCCCTCCTTGTATCCCTCTCTCTTTCTAGTCAACTCTCTTTTCTCTCGTCAATATATCCTAGCTAAACCCTCCCGCCATTTCTATGGCGGCCTTGCCTTCCTAGTTCCTAGCTTATAACGACATGTTAGAATGCTAGAATGACTAGAAAGCATGTGTACAAGGGTATATGACCTAGGAGTTGTACCCTCTAAAGGCACAAACCTATACAGTCTACAAGAACAAACTAAGATATATTAGACACACCCCCTAGACTGTATAGGGGCAGTTCCTGACGAGAGAACAAGCAACTCACGGTGGCACTACTAGTCCAACCTCTGAGGCAAGGGTCTAAAGACCAGTCAAACGAGTACAGACCAAGGCAAGAGCAAGACCAGGGCGGCACTACTAGTCCAGCCACTAGGAGAGGCCACAAGGCCAGTCAGGGTAAAATACATATAAAAGTTCTGTACATAGTCAAGGCCCTAGCAAGTGAGAGGCTACAGGAACGAGACCTAGCTGTACACAGTGCCGAGTCCCTTTGCCCTTTCGTATTCTTTCGTCCAACCTCTTTGTGTAACCTCCGTTGACTCGCGTACCCGATACGACTTTCCTCGAGTGCAGTGTTACACTTCAGAAACGCTTAAGTCTTCGAGGTATTTCCAACAAAAAGCACGTGGCCCAAGTAAGACCAAGATTCGGAGTCTTCGTTTTTTTATCCCTCGCCAACCCAGCCCACGCCAACAGGGTTACCCCATAACTGTGCGACTGGTTGGGAAACAAAAACGACAGGAGGGGATTGGCCACCCAAGAGCCCACCGTCGTGTGCGATGTCGCACAACAAAGTGCCTCCATAGGTCCATACCCCTTGGAAAATCAAGATACAGAGCGTGTGCGTTCTTGGGACTCAAGTCCATGGTGGCAGCCACAAGGTAAGAAAATTTCTCCAGCACTCCAGATAAGGTTACGGACACTCTCTTCGTTTCTCACCTCTCCCGCCCCGCCAATTGTGTTTCGCTCCCGCCCTGTTTCCCCCAGTTCCCTTCTCTCCTCCATCCTCCCCTCGGAGCCCTTTTCGTTTTACCCACGTACCCCCCTTGCGTCTCCCCTTCCCCCAACTGTATGCTCCACGTTGTGGCCTCTGCTTGTCCCTCGTGCCCCCTTGGCGTGGCCTTGTTGTCTTGTCCCTCCCCCCCCTTACTCTCTTCCTCTCTGCTTGCCCCTCCTCTTCTTCGTGATCCCTCGGGTCCTCCCTAACCTCTCTCTTCCCATCCTCTCCCCATGCGTGCATTTCCTAAACAGTGATCTCATTCTCGCCATCTGCTTCTCCCCCCACTCCCCCTTCCCCCTGCCCTCCCTTCCCTTCCAGACCCCTGCGGGGTTCAGTTGGAGGGGATGTGGTCCAGGGCCGTAGACAGGAAGAGGGTGCGGGGCCGACGAGGAACGGGCGCGGAGCCGACTAGGGATGGGCGCGGGGTCGACGAGGAACGGGCGCGGAGCCGACTAGGGACGGGCGCGGGGCCGACGAGGGACGAGCGCGGGGCCGGCTAGGGACGGGCGCGGGGCCGACTAGGAACGGGCGCAAGGGCCGGCTAGGAACGGGCGCGGGGCCGACTAGGGACGGGCGCGGGGCCGGCTAGGAACGGGCGCGGGGCCGACTAGGGGCGGGCGCGGGGCCAGCTAGGGGCGGGCGCGGGGGTCGGCTAGGAACCGGCGCGGGGGCCAGCTAGGAACGGGCGCGAGGGCCTGCTACGGACGGGCGCGGGGCCAGCTAGGGACGGGCGCGGGCCCGACTAGAAACGGGCGCGGGGCCGATCAGGAACGGGCGCAAGGGCCGGCAAGGAACGGGCGCGGGGCCAACTAGGGACGGGCGCGGGGCCGGCTAGGAACGGGCGCGGGGCCGACTAGGGGAGGGCGCGGGGCCGGCTAGGGGCGGGCGCGGGGGCCGGCTAGGATCGGGCGCGGGGGCCAGCTAGGGACGGCTAGGACCTAGGGCGGAAGCGCTGGTGGGCGAGCTGGACCTAACCTACTCATGATACCATGTTAGAATGCTAGAATGACTAGAAAGCATGTGTACAAGGGTATATGACCTAGGAGTTGTATCCTCTAAGGCACAAACCTATACAGTCTACAAGAACATACTAAGATATGTTTGACAGCTTTCACGTACATATGTGTTGTTCTCATAAAGGTGGTCTTCATGTTGTTGGTTGTGAATCAAGATTGCACATCTGTTTGAAATACGTGCCAAGTTGTTTGAATTGTTCATTTTGATTTTGTTGGCGATTGTGGCCACTGTTGCCATGTGGCTCACGTTTGTTGACACCTGGAGATTTTTGTCTTTTTGTTTCGGCCAGTTGCGCACTTGTCACACTCAACTGCCAGGCGGAAATATAATCGGACGTGGCGATGACAACTGTCAAGCTACAGTCGCCATATGGTGCTGTAATTATTTTTTCCTCTCGAGGTGGCAAAACCCCCGAGCTCGCCACTGGACGCACTACGCGCTACACATGCAACTTAGAAGTTGCAATAAGAATTTTTTTTACTTAAATAACAAGATCATGCAGTCTGTTGTGCGACAGGGCAACTTCTGACCACACAAAGAGGTTTTCTTTTATATCGGCCAAAACGTGGCAAATTGAGGCTCGCCAGGCTAGGAACAGAACGAGTTGATTTTTTGGGTTGCGGAGCAACCTATTGCGATCAATTTTGGCGAAATTGTTTTCACACGTTTTTGTGGGGAAAAAAATATATGACTCGAGAAATCTAACAAAAAGGCTCAAAATTTAGTACTTCAAAGGACCTTCCGAATGTAATATATAACTACTAAAGCGTATATTTTGGGATATATGTGCAACCTTTGTAGGACAATTTCGTGCTTGATTGCATCGCGTCACTAGCAACGGATCCAATCAATTTATGCGCAAAAAAATTACATGTCATGGTACATGACACGAAGTTATGTGTAATAAAAAGGGGGATTTATGTGACACTGTAAAAAACCCAAACTCTAGCCTATCGCTTCCCCAGCACTAGCATGGGGGGGAAGTTAGCAAGCCTGGTGTTTGACTAATCAACAAGTGTCATGAAACAACACAGTCAATGAGATCCAAAAAAAGAACACAATCCATCAAATACAGTTCAAGAGACTACACTGAAGGAGCGCGCCTATGAACCTTCTGTGATGTGATGGACAAGGTTTCTCTTTTTAAAAATCACAGACATGCAATGCTAATTAATGAAAAGGTGATGATGGGATGGGATGGGATGGGAGGGATAAAATGGCTTAGGAAAACTGCAACCATTAAATGGAAGATGCAAAGCTACAGAGAGCAGAACAATATGCTGTAATTCCCTTATACGTCATCCCCACCAACTACAGCAGAAACCAAACTGTAGACAAGAAGCTTCCAATATGAAACCTGCAACAGGACATAAAAA